TGCACTCACAAAATTGGTTGGTAAATTCAACGAGTGGGTGCATCGACCTGGTATATCAAGTTTCTGCAATTTTTTACGGCAAATCAGTAGATTTTCGGGATGTAGATTGCTTACTTTCAATTCATGAATGAATAAAGCAACGACATGGTTGAACTTCTTTGCATGGAAAGACGTTTAAAATAACAAAATCAAGACGTATTTAATGCAATTGCATTTATATCGAGTCAATTTCTTTTCAATAATATAACGGGATTTTTACTACCGGTGATTTGGGTATTTTAGCCCCAAAATACCTTTAAATCGACTTTATCTTCTAGGAGTTCGACAGAATTTTTCCTTTCTTCGCTTAAATTATTCCGTAGCACTTTTCTTCAAGAATCTGATAAGATTTTGCTTGAGGCAGATCAAAAAACTTAAATTCGATCGAATAGCTTTCTACTTTCACAATACACGGTCTCGTCAAGGTGCGTCTTTGACCTCGCAGTGTTGGATCGTGAATTCTCTTTTTATGCTGTTTGCCTATTTTGAAATCTCTGTAAATGAAAACTAAAGGGGTTGATATGTGCGAGTTAATGACGCGCCTTATCAACACATTGTGTTGGAGTTCACTGCTTGTTTTCTTTTAATTTTATTTACATAAAACGGAATTACTACAAGACTATTTCTTGTGTCTATTACAGTGGTCTTGAAGCAAAAAAAAAAAAAAAAAAAAAAAAATGCGACAAAAATGTATCGAAAAACGGTTTGCAGGGGGTGAGCCTATGGTTCGTGTGAACTTAAAATCGTGGAAAAACAAAATCTTGGCTGATCTTAATTTCTATATATCGCAATTTGAAATTGTCATACTGAATGCAAGTTTTCTTTTCTGATATGATTTTGATCAGCTTTTTTATTTATTTGCGTCCCTGGAATCTGTGTTGATTGGTTCACGTTTTTATTCTTCGTTCGATTCATTTCGATCGAATACATACCCTTTCGTTTCATGCAGACTTCCTATCATACTCTTTGTTTTAACTCAACAATTCGCCTTCTGGTATTTTTGCAGCAATTGTTGTTACGAATACGTTGTGCGTGCTGATTATTGCTCATTACATACTCGACTCACTGAAGGCGTTTTTTGTGCACAAGTAGCGAAGTCTGTTGGGGAATGAATGAAGTTGGGATTAATCGATTCGTTCAATCTCACTTCTGTTGTTCTCCAACAGGGTGCTCTACTTTCGCACATTAAACGCCTTCGAAGAGTCAAGTATGTAATGAACTGAGATCAGCACGCACAACACATTCGTAACAACAATTGCTGCGGACGCAGCTGAAGGCGCATTGAAAACAGCCTCAAAACAACACATTTTTAAGAGGACTTTTCAGGACTGAAAAGTAACGCAGTATATTTTATTTTGGATTTAAATTTACTTTAGGTTTTAGTTTATACAATAATAAAACAAATTACACAGCGGGGAACAAGGCACATTTCCACTTAAATATCACCCAAACATTTCGGCAGAAAACTCAGCCCTCCTCAGTTGGATGAAACAGTAAAATATTGGGAAATATATAAGAATAAAAACGTGAACCAATCAACTACATAAACTGAATTGATTTCATAAAGTTTTACAGAGTAACGTTTGATAATAGATCATTGTCTAAAACACAGGAATAACAAAATTCTCTGTATTTTTTCGAAATATTAAACATCAAAGTTTTTAAAACATCAAAGTTTTTAATTTAATTACTTAACATTCTTCTGTTTGCATTCCACTTATACTCTCATTCATACCTCGGCAAATTTAGATAGCAATTATCAAAATCCTGCCGACCTCGGAAAATGTTAGTCAAGCCGATGATGAATTGGTATTCGCTGGGTCATATGGTTTTTTTAGATCATAATATTGGAGACAGCTATGTGGTCGAATTCGTCGAAGTGTTTCTAAAGTTTGTAGATCAGACTCCCAATCCCCCCCTCCACCACCATGAATAAATTGCTCCTTCCCTTAGAAGGCCGCACATGGTTTATGTATGGCATATAAATTTCATTTCATACATACATATAAGTCGCTTTACAGTACTCCCTCGCGCTCTACGACTCCTAACCTCCACTGCTCTCTTTCAAACCACAAATCTTGGGGGATTGAGCACCTTAACATTTCCGCTTCAATACCTTCCCTCCAACCTTTCATTGGGCGCCCTCTGCGTCTTCTCCCAGGAGGAACCCAGTCAAGGACCTTCTTCGGCAACCTGTCTCCTGCCATTCTCTGGACATGACCATACCAAATGAGTTGTTTTGTCATAATGTCATGCACGATGGTCTGCTTGGCATCCATGATATCCCGTACCGTCTCATTCCTGACGCGATCCTTTCTGGAAATACCAGCGGATCTACGCCAGAAATCCATCTCTGTTGTCTCTAAAACCTCCCGGGTCCGCTGTTTCATCGGCCATACTTCACACCCGTAGGTTACTATGCTCTTGACAATCGCGTTGTAGATCCTTCTTTTGTTCTCTTTGGAGATCCTTTGGTCCTCCATTTAACATACATTTAACTCCATTTAACATACATAAGTACTCCATTTAACATAGCGATTGCCCTCCTACCCTGCATATGATGATGCTGAGTACATGACTTGAAAGTTGGTGGCTGAGTATCGGGTATGGGGCCTCGAGGTGAATGTCAGCAAAACCGAGAAGTTGACCGTTGGCGGAAATCAACAAAGTATAGAATTAGAGGATGGGCGGCAAATTGGAACCTGCGATATTTACAAATATTTAGGAGTGTTTCTAACCCAGGATGGAAGATTGGACCAGGCCATCAAGAAGAGGAATGTGCAGGGTAGGAGGGCAATCGCTATGTTAAATGGAATTTCATTTCAATCACATCTAAAAATTCTGACAATGTTTGCTGGTATATATGAGGAACTTGGAAGACAATGCGTTTGAGGAGCGCAGTTTTTGAAAAAAATTGAGGTATTAATGATTTCAAGTAAAACTAGTCTTGATGCATATTCTGCGAAAAATTCGCTTCCAAATTCTAATTTTTAAGCATCGGAAAGTCAGTTTAAACTTTCTTTCCGCCATTAGGATCCACGTAATTTTGATCTTCAAACATGTATTTCTCAGAGTATCAAAAACTGCACTTATGCGCCTTGCCCTCCAAGCCCCTCCCTCATATAACTAATCAAACTAATTCTATTCTTCTCGGAAAAAAAAACTTAATTTTGTTTTATTGAATGCAGTTGATAGAGAATTTGATGGGCCAAGAAAAACCGACGTTCAGAGATCGCCTTTCATCGCGCAGGACTGCAAAATGCGTTACACTCTCGACTGCAATTCCTAGCTCAAGTTGGTAGTTGAATCGTAACCCAGCGCTGAGCGGCTGAAGAAGTTTTACGAGAGCGCGTAGAGACTCCAGCCTGCTCCAAAGTCGTTATGACTGCGTGCAGATCAGAGACAAGAGCTCCGCTATTACGGAAAGGCCTGCTATCTCGGATCTGAAGGAAAATGAGGCATTTCAAAAAATGCAGAGAGCGGCACGAGCGAAGAGGCCTTGCGATTACATCAACGATAAAACCGAGCGCCGCTCCCATTCCAAGGGGAGACATGACACTTCTAGCCTCGAAATCGCGGCAAAAAAGGGCTACAGCTCGGCGTTTAAACAAAAAAACTTCCTGCGGCTTATACTTAAAAAAGACGTCTCACCACGAAAACATATCTTTGTTTATTCTCCGTTTAGATGGGGTGGTTGGCTCTCGTTGAGTTTTCCGTGCTTTTTCTACCGATTTTAACTCATGAATATCTGATGAGCTAAATCTATGAACTTATAGGATTGGGAACCACAAAAATTGATGCAGGCACTAAGAACGCTGATAGCAACGAGTGCAAAACCTAAATTTTAAGAAAATGGACCTAGCAATATTTTTCAAGTGGAAATCTTTATTGAGGAAATTCTCAATTCTTGGTAAAATTATCCATCATTTTTCAAAAGACCTTTAGAAATTTGTCGGATGGTTAAAAATTGACGAATATTGCTCGCACTATAAAAATAAATGAACTTATTCATGGCATATTAGGCAAGATAGAAATAAGTGATATCTCGTAGAATTAGATTCGGTAAATTTTGAAGGAAACTGGATTCGGAATCAGAACTGTACTGCTTCCATGAGTGCGCCGGGAGAGAATTTGACACTTACCCTGCCGTGGTAAGAAAAAACACCGTATGAGCATTAGAATGTTGCCAAACATTCTCTCAGAAAAACTCGATTTTCGAAGAAAGTTAACAATACTTTTCCCTGAAATTTTCAGACCATTTGGATCTTTCGAATACAAAAATCGGATAAAAAACATTCACAAATTTTCCTGAAAATTCGTCGCTATTCGACAGAAATTTGGCAACGCTTGATGTCTCATACGGCGTTCTCCCTTAGCAAGGCAGTACGGCTCTCTTGGCTATGACGGCAGTAGTGCTCTCACGAGAGAGACGGGAGACAAGCTAGACTAAGAGTGGTGCAATTAATTGAGGCGTTACCTGTAGGAGTCCTGGCGGGAGTGGCTGTTTCCGGGGAGCCGGAGGGAGTCGAGCTGGGAGGAAAGCGGAGCCGGAAATTGGGCGGCGAAGGAGCAGGGGCCGGGGCCGGGACCCGGAGACGCCGGGGTGGAAGGCTCTGCCTCTTGCCCGCCGCTCGGCTCCAAGCTGTCAGTCACTTGGATCACAGGTACCACATGACGGGACATCGCCAGGCACGGCATTCTAAACACCAACACACCACAACCACAACATTAATTTCACAGTTAACCTCGTTTCGAATGAACATGAACATGAAAATGAAAAGCCCGCTCTAAGTTTCGTCGCCCTGGCTTGGACTCAAAGACATAAAGACGGAGCACTGAAAGCAAAAAATGAAGCTTCTAGAGCTTCTTTTCAATCACCTCTACTATTGGCTAGAGGATTGGCGGCGAAATCGGGACAAGTTTGAATTCAAATGTAGGGCGGGAACTAATAAATAAAATTGCGGAAACAAAGTATTTTAGGTTGATTTTTGCCCAAAATTCAGGTACACACTCATATTTGTTTAACTTTAGGTTAGTTTCAGTCCATCGTCGACCGATTAATTTCATTTGGGAGTAACGTTGATCTAGAACTGTAACGGCCTGTTTGAACCTGCAGAACCACCATGAGCAGAAGAAAAACTAACTTTATCTGAGATTACTGCCTGTTACCGAGCAAAAGTAGGTGTATTATATTAGGACGCAGACCGAACTTTCTTAGTATATTCGTTTTAGGAATTTAAAATACGTTTCAAAGAAGAAATGTGCAAAAATCAAGAGGACAAGTTCAAATCAAATTTCCGTTTGCCGCCATGGATTCCCGCGCTCATTTACACACTCACACAAGCGCGCAGCGCCGAACCTAGCTTCACTTTTTCCCCGTGCTTTTAGATACGAGCGCTCCGTCTTTATGTCTTTGCTTGGACTAGAGCACCTACATGGAGAGAGTACCCGCCATAGAGTACATAGAGTCGTAATGTAAAGGGGAGAGTTGGCGCCATGTTCTGCTCGACGAGTTCCGAGCCGGGTGTGCGTGTCACTTTTCCGATACACATTCGATCCAAAATGGTGGTGTGGAATACGTAGTGATACCATGGCCGGGTCCCCGTGCAGGGCCGGATCTAGGGGGGGGCAAGTGGGTGCACGTGCCCCGGGCGCCACTTCAGGGGGGGCGCCAAAATGGCAATGACTTTTTTTAGAAAGGAGGTGAGAGGGAGGGAGGGTGAGAAGGGGGGAAGAGGAGAGGGAGGTTACGAACATCGAAACAGGAATACATACATATGAGTCGCTTTTATAGCGATCTTTGGCGCTTTACCACGCCTAATCGCCACAAAGCTCGAAACAGGAATAACATTAGAAAAAAGGGACGAAATTTGTCAGTTTTCATATCTTCTGAAGAGCACCTGAAAGCCGAAGTCAAAGTCAGCACTGAGCATAAGGCGTCAAGATTAAAGGTATGGATTGAAAATTCCAATATTTTTAATGCACACGGAATCGTTAAATGCATTCCGATGGGTTAACGAGGCTAACTCGGGGGTGAAAAAGGCGTTAGATTTGAGGAAAGAACGAAATTAAAATAACAATGAGTGATGACTGTAAACTTAAACTATGAAAGAAGACGAGGCGCTACTTTAGGGGGGGGGGCGCCAAAATGGCAATGACTTTTTTTGGAGAGAGTGAGAGAGGGAGGGGAGGGAGGGAGAGGAAGAAAAGATGTAGGTTCCGAAACAGGAATAACATTATAGAAAAAAGGGGCGAAATTTGTCAGTTTTCATATCTTCTAAGGAGCATGATTCTGTGACCAGCAGAACTAACCTATTGCAAGATTCCAGCGTTTAAAATTGTAGAATTTCTTTCGTGTAAGATTGACGGGAAAATTGAATCTATTTTTGGGAAAAGGGCTTTTTAAACGGCGAAGAGATGAATAAGTTGAATGATGACGATTTAAAAAGCATGCGAAAGATTTCGCCATGAAGTACGCGATGGACGTAGATCCCTATGAATTTGTCGAGGAAACAGAAGTCTTTCGGGTACAAGCCAGAGAGCTCTCTGGCAATCTTCAAAAATTAAGCCCTCTTAACCTTCTGAATTTAATTGCGAAAAATGACCAGAAAGATACGTTCCCAAATGTCGCGATCGCTTTGCGTATGTATTGCACTTTGCCGACAACCTCCGCTAGCTGTGAACGCAGTTTTAGTAAGTTAAAGCTTATCAAAAATTATTTGCGGTCGACCATGTCGCGGGAAAGATTGACAAATCCGGCCATTTTGTCAATCGAAAGTGTGGTTGCCTACACGGTTAATTTTGATTCCTTAATTGACATTTTTTCAGAAAAAAACCCTGGTAAAAATTGGCGATAGGAGCTGCGTTTCAAAATACCATAGGAGTTCTTATAGCCGACTAGAGAAGGCTATTGAAAATTATATAGCTGGCTGTAGAAAGCGGAGCAAATCATATAGCCGGGCAATACGAAGCTATAAAAAAGTATACAGTTGGGCTATAGTTCCTATCACCGGGCTTTACACTTCATCGCCTGGCTGTTGCTTCTTCGCCATCGATTATAAAAGGCTATAAGAAATTGTGTAGAAATTCGTGTGCTTTGGAAATCATTAAGTTTGATACGGAAGTACCTTTATATTTACGAAACACATACATATTATATTTTCCAGTGGCGTAGCGTGAAGGATCGATTATGGATATATCGCCATTTGAGGCTATGGTAAAGAATCGATTACTAAGGTGTTCGCTGCGAACGCCCTGATAATCGATATTTTTTCATAGGTTTGGATGGCGAATCAATCGATATATCGCAAAGCACGCCACGCCTCTGATATTTTCCTTTAAAACATATTTTTTTTTCATCAATTAAAATGAGAATAGTCCATACAGAGTGTGCAAACATTTCAAAATAATGAGTTGAAAAACGCTGACTCCGCCAGATTAAATATTAGAGCCTAACACAAAGCGGAGCGGCGGCGACGCACTGGCGCCTACAAACCTAATAGGGATATTTCACGCATTGCGTAATGCGTGAGGTATCCCTGTTAGGTTTGTAGGCGCCAATGCGCGTTTTGCGCTCTCTGCCCGCCCGCCGCGCCGCAGCGTGCCACGACGTCTGAAGCAACTATTTCACACCAGAGGTATTGCCCAGTATCACAGGAAATTGAAGGTTCTCCAACATATTAAGAATGACGGGCATCCTTCAAAAGTACGAAGCTTTCCTCGCAAAATAAATCAAGATACTACGGCACAAAAAGAGAGCGGTAGTCCAAAAACTAACTAAGTCCTATAGTATCCGTATTTAGTAACGTTTAGCATAAACTTTATCGTCTGGCTGTTGCTTAATCGCCATCGGCTATAAAAGGCTATAAGAAATTGTACAGCCGGCTACAGAAGCTATTGGAAATCTTACAGCCGGCTTTAGGTCTATAGTATTTTGGAACACACATTCTACTGCCAATTTTTACCAGGGAAGGCACGAAAAGTACAATTTTAAAACATGTTATTGGCACTTTCCACTAATGGGATTGATTAAAACCTACTTATCCTTTTCTTTTCTTTCTCTTGTTTTTGTTGTACTCTGTTTAACAACTAACCCTCAAAAAAGCCTTTCCCTACGATACAATTTCACAGTTGAAAAAGCTTCCAGTGAATGAAGGGAGTAAGTGAGATTACTGAAAAATCAAAATACCTGTAGCGGTGATTTTGAACAAATCTCATCTCAAAATACCATTTTAAATATTTTTTTTTTGCTGCAAGACCCCACGTAACTTTTCAACATTAAAATCGTCTTTCTAAAAATCACAAAAATGTTACTTATACTTACCTCCTTCATTCGCTGGAGCTTCAACCTACCCTTTGGTACACCCAATATTCATTCATAAAATGTGAAGTGTAAGTACGTATCTGTCAGTGCTTTATAGAAAGCACACATAAAGAATGTATTGAGGAATGCGACTTCAAGTATTTTTACATGCGCGTATACCGCTCTTTGAGACCTCAAAAATCAAACTTAAAAAAATCAATTTTACGCTAAAAACTACGGAAAACGGCCTTCTGGTACGCTGTAATTTTCAAAAATTTTCCGGGGGGGACCCCCGAACCCCCCGCCTTCCTGGGGGGTATTCCATACCCCCAGACCCCCCGGCGTGGGGGGCGCCAAAATCTGGGTTTGCACCCCCCTACGTGAAACGTAGATCCGGCCCTGTCCCCGTGCATAGCAAACAATCGATTATGCATCGAAGAAGTGACCCGGCGTCGCACAGGGGTCTCGAAATTCGGGACCTGGAAATTGCGTAAAAGTGGCGCCAGCTCTCCCACTCACATTACGACTCTGTGTACTCTATGCCAAGTATGAAGCTCTTAGCCCAAAAGAGAGGCGGCCAACCTCCTAAACGTAAAAACACTGGGAAAATTACGCTGCCAATCTTCAGATCCCAATATCAAAGTAAAATGACCAAGAATGTTTGTAAATCAGCGTCCATCCTCAAAACATTTTAATTTACTAATCTCTTTGGAAGGGCGCTCATTTATAAACATTCGTGGCCGTTTTGCTTTGATATTATGGAATCTAAAAATTGGGAGAGGAATTTGTCTTGTGTTTTTTGTGGTACAATGTTGGCTGCATTTTTGGGACCTAAGATCATCATATTTCAACATTTGCTTCTCCCAATATAGAAACTCTGGTTGGACAGTGGGTCCTCTCATTGGATGGGCCACATAAGTCTCAAAAACTTTTCCAGTAGGTCAGTTGCGCTAGTCACACAATCTTGTTTCCAATCATGGTTTAAGGCTACAAATGAGAAAACATTGAAGAGCTGTCGATTAATTGCGTAACGCGATTTCTCTGATTTTGCTTTGTGACGCTAGTCCAAGCATCCCCCACACAAAATACACAATCCGCACAGAATAAACTCGCTTATTCAGAGCACAAAAATTCAGTTTCAATCTTCCGTCGCTTTATTAAGGCGCGCCGAAACATCTGTTCGTACTCTCCAGAATGCGTGTGGTATCACGCAACGAGTGAAGGCGTTTTAAAAACCGCCAAGTTTCGATATCGAAATTGTCGTATCGCATGAAGTTCAGAGCAGGGGATTAATGTAATGACTAATCTTACGCGCTACTGCAATATTTGTGCGCACATCTCCTTGCTTTGATTTTTTATATACATCTGTCTTTTCAGTTGAGACCAAGCGTGTAATT